TCTTCTGATGACCAACTTGCAGCACGACCCCATGTGGCTTCATTCTCTCCCAATTTTGGGCAACAGGTGGCTTGAATTGGGGCCTCTTCGATTTCCGGTCCTTCATAGACATGTTCGTGTGCTGCTGCTGCTGCACAACAAAACACAGAGGGGGTGAAAAGCGGAGAGAAGATATCTTAATCATGCATCAACAGACAAGATCACGAGTCAACGAGGAAATGACCACATTATTGTATACAAAATCAGACGAACCACACGTAATGCTTGTTGTTAATTAAAATAAACAAGTGACGACGACCAATCAGCATTACGAAAATATCCCGGAAATGCATAAGTTGAAATGGAGACCAAATGACTCAGATCTGGCGATGTAGAACAAAGGAATTGACACACGAATCACACAAGCTAAGTGTGAGAAAACGCGGGAAGCTAACTGTGTNGACAGCTAAATCATTCACGTTGGTGTAATTGCACGAGTGTGACAATTTCGGGCGACAAGTATGGACTACACAACGTTGGATCTGCTCAGCACAATCTATTGCATGAAAACGAATGATGGGAACAATAGGGAAAACGAATTTAACAAATGTAGTAGATGAAGGGGGTTTAGTTGGTACACTTTGGTAATTATGGGAACAATTATGTCAATGTGTCAGCTATAACAGAATCGTTGAAAATCCAGAAGCTATTGTCTCCTAAATGAAAATGCCCCACTGAAAGATACCACAACCAACACAGCAATACCGCTAAGCGACTGGCTGTTAGCAACAGTTGTGTCCGGTATAACTTATTTCTGGAATAGCCCGTCGAATTATCACGACCTAAAAATGCATTTGAACCTGTGGTTTCTGCACCACACGTGATACCAGTATGGCTAAAAGTCCTATGCTTATTCCGTAAAAAAACAAAACAATTTTCTTTCCACTAACGGCAACAAACAAACAAATGCAACCGGTTTTTAGGAAGCGGGATGTGGTGTTGTGATCCGAAAAAATAGACCTACAGTTTGGTACGACCGTGCTCGATAAAGGCTCGACTATTGTCTGGGCGGCACGGTCTACAAATTAGGGATTGGGTGATATATTTCGTTCATTTCACAGACGTTCGGTCTCAGCAGCAGCGGACGAAGAAAATGGAACCGATGATTTGTCTCCCACCCACCATGTTGTCAAAAGGCAACAACAAAAACAAATTAAATTGATTTTCACCTTTTTTAAACGTGCAAATCCAACAACAGGATAATTGGTAAGCGCTGCGGTAGATGAATGAACCAGATAGAATGAAGAATAGAATAGCTCTCTCTCGCACTAGGCATATAGTTAAGAGATCAGAGGATCGATTGACTCAGTGTGAGATACGCACACACACGTATCTCGTAGTGGAACAATGATCAATCCCTGTCCCATAACACAAACATGTAAACATAAAAGCACACGCACATACAATAATCGGAACTTGAAGGCGATGACAACTCGCTGAACACCCGATTCTATTTGTGTATGAACGACTAACCAAATTAATGTGTGTGCCTGTGAAGTCAGCGAGTATGCGCGTGTGTGAAGGAGAACTAATTGGCACGTTGCCAACAGAACAGTCTTCAGGGGATTCGAGTCCATACGCAGTTAGTAGTAGCGGCGATGCGGAGCGAGTGGGGGTGGCAAGGTCAGACACCAGTACAAGCTACGTGTTCCAAAGGATGAAGGTTGGAAACACTGAAACGCATGCGAAGATGTTCAACGCGCAAACGATTGAACCGAGAACTGCGACTAACGTGGCAGTGAAAAATGAGAAGGCCCTCGGATAGCACACGAACCGTTGTAGACGAAATCTGGCACAGATATTTTGATCACTATTGTTAAATATCTGTCCGGTATATAGGTAACTTGGCAAGAAACAGATTTTTTTAAACAATTCAGTTTGCACAGTACCATCATGATCGTGCAAGGCCCAACACTCGCCAGTTTCGCGTACAAAAGAAAAGGACCTAGCATGACTGCCATTGGATTCACGTGTGAAGAATGCGGTAGGTAAATCACCCCATACATTTATCGGTATTTCATTTTACAGTCATGAAAAAGAAATCGCTGTAGCCGGCAAACATCCACTTCAGATAGAAGAAGAGTGAAGTTAATCACCGTCATCTCTACACCTCTCCCTCCGAAAACCCACATTTTAGTGAGGTGTAGCTAACAGACATGGTTGTTACTCAAACATTTGTCGAATGTCATTCCGTAACAGTCAACTATCTTCCTGGAAATCACACACCTGTGTTCGTATGCGTAGTGAACAAGTAAATTTGAAGCGTAACCTAGATGGATGAATAAATAATTAGTATTCCCGTGGTGTTGTAAAGTTTACGGTCTACTGCAAAAAAAGACAGTTCGTAAATCTCCCTCACTCATAGCTAAAACACGCGGCATCAAAACTAGTGGTGATCGAAAATGCGGAGGTTTCTTGCCGTTTGGTTGATGGGTCCCATAAGAAACCAGGTTGAGAACACGTTGCATTAATTTTGCGGAGAATCGTGCCTGATACGATTCGGATAACATCATTAACCATAAATCAGAAAATCACACTTCTGCTATTCGATCGCCTACGATACAAGATCTTTAGTTCACTGGGTGAATACTCAGCACAGAGAATAACAAAAGGGAATGCGGTTTTAAAGTGTCCGTTCAAGGCTTTTGGAAAAAAGATACTATAGCAAATAACGGGGCACCTGGACAGGCATTATTGCACTGGCAGTTTAATCAGCTGACGGGTTGTTAGGTAGTCTGGTCGTATTCTGGACTGGTGGTGTCGTGCTGCTGGTGGAACTCAAACAGGCTGTACGGTGCTTGCGGACATTCCAGTTCGTGTGTTCTAAATGCGACAAAATTCATTTGAGAGATTATACCTTCAGTGTGTCTGATGCACCACCCAGACGCCTGAATAATAAGAATATTACCGAACGTGGTCATCCAGTTTTTGGGGGTTAGAAAACATAAAAAATGAAGACTTTTTGATACCGGACAGTATGGCCGTAAGACTTCCCAAGTGAATTTTACGGCGGCTTAAATTCCTAGATAACAGGAAATGGTATTATCGGTGCCTCTTAACGACTTATCATAAAATATCCTCCTCCTTGTTACAGCAGAACCGAACGGCTTGCAACTGTGATGGGTGAAGAGAATGTGCCAAAATGATGTCATTCTGAATGAAGAACGTGCGCGTTTAGCTGAATAAATGCACAGGATCTGTGAAATTACAACTGGCTTGATGCTTTATGGTGTTTCGCACATGGATTGTAGTATTTGGGTCAAGGCATGCACACCGCGGATAATTGATGAAATAGGTTGGACTGTAAACCGCACAATATAGTTGGTCATTGGTTCGAAATCGAGCCAAAAGGTCGCAGCCAATCAGAAGTAACTAAACACACTAAAGCTTCTTTTTTGTGGGGGTGAGAGGTTGACCCTAATCATGGTGAATGCCCAGATGACTACTGCACCACAAGAACCGGAATGCGAACAGCTGGGACCGAGATTGTGCGGTAACCGTGGGCCTCGGTCGGGATTTCGATCATTCCGAATACACGGAGACCATGGGAACGATTCAGTGCACAAGCTGATATACACTGGCCAAATGGAGCAGCACACTATGCCGCATGCTTTCCGCTGTTTGAGATTCAGAAGTGATGTATAAACAAGTGGTTATATCCTTCTCTCTCTCTAGCAATCACTTATACCACGTCAATCGCCCTATTCAATCATGGATGTGTGTAGTGTTTGAGCGTGGAGCGCGTTGTGCTCATGCAAAGATGATGATTATCGATTCATGCGATAAAGGTTAACCACTAAGGCCCTCCCTCACCCTGAGCACCACAGGAGTAACGGTGTTCTGTTGTGAGTTAGAAACATAGTAACAACCGAATACGAGTAGCGAGCTAATCACACACGTGAACTACTATCCAAAATCACCGGAACTAGTAATCACAGCACACAAGTGTACATGACAATCAGTTTGCAAGCCATGGGCACACCAAGCAAATGTTCCAGTTCTCGCTAATCCTGTCAAACACTCGAGATCATCGAAAAAAAAACGAAAACAGGAGGAGGAGGAGATTACATCTAATAAAGAAATAGTCGATACAAACGACCGGTTACGGTGCCGTTTCGACTACATGTGTTCCAATTATCGTATGCAAAGGGATACCATAATTGAAACCGCACTGATTTACTGCCCCGAGCGGATGAGAATCGATCGAACTGCTTACTAACGACCATCATTGTTCGGCATTCTTTTTTTCCAGATATTATGTACAAACACCATTGTGCACGCGATGCCAAGTTCGGATAACAACTGAGCCAGTTACATGACAACCTGAATAGTTTATGGACCAGCAGGTTGGATGAACGTAATTATCTGAAGTTGTACATAATAACTTTATGTTATACCTCTTCAGTGAAAACAAATTACTAGCTAGTCGAAGTGAATGCTAATTGAATGATACGATTGATCTTCCAGCTTGGCAAACTTATTCACAACACGGTAGCTAAACTAAGATCGGATAGAATAATCCGTTCTCCACCCTTCCAGTACATGGCATAACGTGAGGATTAACAGATTTGGTAATAATCAACGCTAGGAATGGGTTATACAGGGGACACCAAAGATGACAATAAAAAATTATTGAAACATGTTTGGCGAGATCTTTATCCATTCTGCTATGATGAGAAAAAATCTTCTGATTGACACATTGATTTTGACCCTATCTTAATTTATTGAGATATAATGCTGGACGGTGGAAGGAGGTGGGCACCAGGATGCATCATGAGTATCGCATCACTCTGACTGTATAAGCTGTGACCAGAATGAAAGATATATCTGTTTGATACAGCGACATAACTATCTGTGAAACAACAGATTCCAAACACTTTACAAGATACGTAGCTACTAAACACATAGTCTGGATGTTCACCTGCTCTTCGTTTGCAAACGTTTCTGCACTAGCCGAAGTGACACTCTCCAGAACGCAGCAACTACCACACGATTCCCGGGTCATAATAATCAATAAGGATTGTTCATAAGTTTGTCGCAAAACAGTCTCAACCGAACACAACCCGAGTGTCACGTGGTCGCAATAACGTCGCAAGACCGACATTAACTCTTCAAATTTATCAGGTAGTCAAGCTCAACAAAATATATCGAAGCAAAATTCCAATTAGGGACTGCATGGTTGCATTGTCATCCAACTGCTTGCGCTCACACCAAATCCCAGGTTATAGACTTCCTCGGAAAAAATGTTCTTGTTGCTTCAAATATACGAGGATCGTTGTGAAAAAACCAGGTATTTCGTCGTTCCCGAAATCCTCAGTATGGTCGGGGTCGGGTGTCTAGGGTTGTGACTGGTTATTCTTTCCTTGCACCTCGCGAAACGCTTGCTTACGATCAAGCATCTCGAATAGCCTGTGTTGAGGAAATCCTAAGCACTGCATTCTCGTGNTGGAGGTGTTTTCTCACCAAAGTGAGAGGACGAAAAGCCGAAACCGGAGAGTTGACCCAAAACTCTGATTCCAAACTAATCAAGAGGAGGCGTGCGAACCACACATACACATCTTCTCGGTTGTGACAACGGTCACTGGCTCAATTGGGCACCTTGAACATTTGACCCTGTCCAAAGGGAGCACGATCCGATGAACTGGACACCGTCTCCCTATGGACTCCGGTTTTCACACACCGCCCCGCTGTCTTGCGGGTCAGGTTCTGGCTAACCGAAGGCTCCGGTTGTGGATTCCCCAAGAAAATTTACCTGCCTTGGCCTGGGTAACCTGGCAGTTTCCCGCCCACATGAAAATCATGGAACATCTTTCTTTCTATAAAGATTATTGTACCGCGATTTGTTTGGCGCACAGTGTGAAATATAACAATAATATGAATATTTCGTCTCGGAACGCTTCTTCTTAATCTGCGTTAGCAGCCGTGATGGCTGTTTCACGGAGAGGGTGTTTCAATGGGCCAAACGCTCAACTGTAAATGGAAAGTTCATCTAGGTGAGTTGCAAAAAGAATTCAAGCCGCAAGAGAAGTAGTGGCTCTGAGACACCCTGGACGCACCGAACATGTTCCAATCGGGTCATATGAGACTAACTGTTTGGTCGAACCGGTGTGGCTGCGGTAGTGATTTCCCAAGAAAATCATTCTAAAGGCATGCTCGTATCATACACATAAACATAGTTATGAACTCGGCACCTCAAGTCCCTTTCCCTATCCACACGTATCCATAGGACCACTTTGTTAAGTCCCGATAATTTATTTGTAATATCATCCAAATCTAAATAGTGTTGATTCTAAACTGCGCACTCTCGTTTCCGTGTGCATTCAAATGAACTTTCTTGTTTTTCAATTGGTGCAAATTTCCATGTGCAAGGCATTTAAACTCCACGGGGAGATAACACCGGGCTCACACCTATCGAACGGTTACGGGGAACAGGAAAAACGAGAGTTGCAACCTTTTGGATAGAAGAGGACAGTAAATAACCCCGGGGATTATGACTGTCTGTCGCGGTAACAAAGTGAGGGGCAGTTTGATCAGTTTTCGAATTAGAGCAACAGAAACAGCAACACTCAGATGATGATGAGGATTTGAGCTGAGTTGAGAAAAAAACTCAAATGAGAAATGTTAGTGGGGTACAAAGCTGTAGTCTTGATTATGTTGTTGTGGTGAAAAGTGACTTTATGTTAGTACGATAGAATACACAGTGTACAAGCCACCCAAAGCATATGCAAATGAAATAATGCGGAAAAAGTCGGGGTTACAACAAGTGCATTGTGATCAGATGAATGCGTGAGATTTTTCAAGTATAACGGGCGATATTAATAACGGATGAATGGATGGATGACAAATATGAACTGATAACCGTGGGGTGGGGGAAGCTATTAGATGAAACACAAACCCCTCAACTCAACACAACACACTTATGCAATGAGGTAAATGGTACGAAACAATCACTACTCACTTGGGGATCGGGATTCGATCCAAACCACACACGATTGCGTTCCGGTCGGACAGACGTACAGACAGACAGACACCACACACAGAGAGCGAGATTTCGCGTTTCGGTGAGTGACGGGGGTGAACCGAATGCGGCGATTGAGTATAGAGTTATGTGACCAGGCGAGCCGAGACGAGGCCAGGCGGGGCGGGGATGTGAGACGAATCGGAGTGATCTCATGCACAAGTGAACAGCAGAGACCACCATCATCATATAGGACGGCGGTTAGAAGAAGATCCGATGAATGAATGATTAGGATAGGTGTAGATCAGAGCGCAGCAGCACATCCGTTGTTCGCGTCAGCACGGCATTGTTCACCCGAACCAAAAATCCCCTTGAAACGAGATTAGCTTGTTCAGCGTAACCCATATGTGATGCCCTCGGCGGTGATAGGCCTAATCTTTAAACACAATACTGATTGATAGTTACACATTAGCGGTACCAATGATGATGACGACAGTAATGACGACTGGAATGATGAGAACGACAACCCACAGTTATACAAATAAATGCTGA